CATAGAAGCAGATGATGCGGACTTTTCGCCTGTAGAGTGGCTGGTGGGTTCGAACTGCTGGCCTTTTGTTTAGCAGCCGAACACTTAACCGTTGTGCCACCAAAGCGTTTCCATATCCATCATGTTTTTCATTGCTCTCTTCCCTTCTTATTCTTTTTCCCACCTACCAAGAAAAATTTTCAAGGTATATCACCACTTTGATTTTTAACAATTTTATTTTTTCTCACTTCTAATATCAAATTTATTTTGTTGCTGCATTTTCCATTTTCATGCAATCTTTTTTCCTTATGCTACAAGATTCACTTTAATTTCTACCTGTCACAGTCATTTCTCTTTTATTTCATATGACTTATTTCATCTGTCATCTTGTTCATAATCCATATTTCATTTAATTTGATGAAGGAGCACATCTGGTACCACCTTATCAAGCCTGCCCCACCTTTCCACCAAAATAATAAACACACACACACACGGAGTGCATGTTAAAGTTATATTAGCATGAGGACTTGATGGAGGGAGGGTAGGTTCTAATCCTGTATGACTGAGGTCCTTATGCAAAGGGAGGGGAAACACAGAGAAGAACACCTGTGTGTTTAGGTGCATATATCAGTGGAAAAGAAAGCTGGTGTGCTAGTCTGGGTAAACTTGAGAAACAAATCCACAGAAGTTCATATGTATATAAGAGAGACTTTTATATAAAGAGTAAGTGTACATTAAAAAAGCATCCCAACCCAGTGCTGTCCAAGCCCGTAAATCCAACATTAGCCCATATGTCCGACACCGATCTACAAGCCCTCCTCAATCTCACAAAACACACACTGACGACTGCAGGAGGAAAGCTGTATCAGTGAGCATGTAAGCACCTCAGTGCTGGCAGGGATCTCCACCTGGCTGCTCCCAGGGTTGCATCAGGGTAGGTCCATGTGACTTTTCCTCCGGGATGTTTTGCAGGAAGTGAGCCTTGCCAGCTGACACAGGGAACTGGATAAGGCAGCTGCACCCTGGTCCGGCCATCACAAAGCAAGAGAACCGAGAACTCGAAAGGCTTGGCTCACTGAGCCATGTATCCCTCCGCCCTTCAATTAACCCCACATATGTTTATCGGCCAGGTTGGCAAAATAAACCTTAATTACCTAGGGAAAGGAGTGATTAAGTGGTACTATCTTTTGTCTCAGCATACCTGTCATATTGATGGGCTTATTTAATTACTCCATATAAATTTTCTGAGTGAGTGGATGAGAGAGTTGTCTTTAAGACTTTTTGAAGAATAAACTACTCTTAACTTTCTTCTATTACATTAGTGCTTATTTGCAGTATATATTTTCCTAGTCAGGGCTTTTAAAAATATTTCTTGATAGGGTATCAGTTTCATAAAACATTCAGTCAAAAAGAGTTTGTGGACAAAGAATTTGGAGAAATACTGCATACCAAATCCTCCTTTCAGAAGGACCCAGTTACCAAGTATTTTAATTTTGACAGTTTTATTGGCCTTCTTTGACATGTTGTACAATTCAGTGGGTCAAGCATATCAAGAAGACGTGTGCAGTCATTACCACAATCAATTTTAGCACCTTTTCTTTTTTGTTGGACTCATTGTTAGTGTAACTGTTATTATTTTAACTGTGGCAAAAATATATACCACAGGACCTTCTATAATTCAGCAACCTCTACCTGTGTATTTCAGTGCCATTGATGCTTGATACCTGATCCCTTCGACACCTCATGGTCACACAGGCTGGTGTGCTTCTTCCATGTGGGCTTTGTTGCTTCTGAGCTAGATGGCTGCTTGTTTATCTTCAAGCCTTTAAGACCCCAGATGCTATGTCTTTTGCTAGCCGGGCATCCAGATTGAATTCTTAATTGACTGAGCTCTGTTTACATTGAGCATGGGCGTTGGTGCTAAGGGAACATTTCCTGAAATATTTTTTACAAGGGCAGATCCTTGCCTGTCAGATTAATATCTGTCATACTAATGCAAGGGGAGCATAGAGGTACTAAGTATATGGTGGTTTTGGGTCTCCTTTCAATTGATGCCCACTAAGCCAGGGGTCCCACCCAAGGTCCAACAACTGCCCTTTCCACAGTCTTGGGGTGGCCATCTTTAGCTTCCTTTCCCATCAGGGAGTTTCAGTCTTAAGTCCAAGGGCTACAAGTAGGTTTGAGGTAGGGCCCAATTTGTTCTTTCTGGCTACCACATCGAGTCCTTCTGGTTTGGCCCTGTAAGGCCAGCGGCTAAGGCAGCGGTTCTCAAATCTGTGGGTCGTGACCCCTTTGGGGGGGTTGTCGAACGACCCTTTCACAGGGGTTGGCTGATTCATAACAGTAGCAAACTTACAGTGATGAAGTAGCAACAAAAATAATGTTATGGTTGGGGGTCACCACCACATGAGGAACTGTATGAAAGGTGGAAGCATGAGGAAGGGTGAGAACCCCTGCTCTAATGTCATCTTTGTGTTTTATCCATGGCGTGGTTCACCCAGGGTTGGATAGAAACGTATTCAAAGTGTCTACCCAGGAAAGTAAAACCAGTCTTATTCTTCTCTTAGGTTTCCTACAGTTATTGTTTATCATCCCTTCCTGATGTACAATTGTGTGGAACCAATGCGCACACACACAGACTCTGGAGACCAGGCTCTGATTCCGCAGATCTATTTTATTGTTGTCTTTACACTGTTTATATAGGGCGCATAAGCCAATCAGTTGTTACCGTGCTTACTTCCTTGTTCTAAAACTTACCCTTATAAGGTTATAAAATTGAGCTAACGAGGAAGAGGCAGGTGTTTGCCATGGGCTAGAGCAAGCAGAGGACTGAGAAGCTTACAGAGCTGACTAGTGTCGGCCGTCTGTCTCACCAGTGTGCTGGGACCATTGTAATAGAGAAACGGTATGCCATGCCACTTCTCAGGCCCGCTAGAGAAGACTGAGCAGCATTCTGCGTCTTCTACGCCATTCCTCCTTTATGCATTCGAACTCCTCAGCCATCACCCCCACACAATTGGTTCTCCCCTTTACCCACCATACCCACTAACAGAAACACCAGTGCCTCCTCGGAAATGTAGGTGCGTCCTTCCCCTGGCTTTAACTTGACTTCCAGTGAGGTTTGCTCTCCTTTCTGTAGAGGGCCCACTAGTTTGTCCCAGCCTTGTCTCAGTGTTGACAAGTGGATGGTCATCTCCCTTTCCCCCTTCTTGAAGGAATGACCCTGGCTGATGGGAGGTCCCCTCGTTCAAGGTGGGTCTTATGAAGTGCACATAGGGGCTGATGTATGGTGCATAGTTCATGACTGCTGGGCAGACTTTCTACCTCTCTGTTTGGGATTTGGTCCCTAAGAGTTGTTTACTTGATGTTTCTCCTTATGGTAGTGGCTCATTCACTATTTGTCCTTTTGTGATTGACTTACTTCACTCAGCATAACAGCGTCCAGTGCTTCCATGTCATGTGGGCTCATGCTTTCATCTCTGTTTTTAGGGATGCAGAGTGTTCCATGTGTGTAAGTGCCATAGCGTCTTTCTCCATTCTTCTACAATTGGGCGTTTGGGCTGCTTCCAGTTTCTTGCTGTTGTGGACTGTGCTGCTATGAACATGGGAGAATATACTCTTAAGCAGGGGTCCTCAAACTTTTTAAACAGGGGGCCAGTTCACTGTCCCTCAGACCCATTGGAGGGCTGGACTATAGTTAAAAAAAAACTATGAACAAATTCCTATGCACACTGCACATATCTTATTTTGAAGTAAAGAAACAAATGGGGCAAAAACACCTAGCAGGCCGGATAAATGTCCTTGGCGGGCCACATGTGGATGCCTGCACTTAAGGGTCCCCAAAAAGGCTTGGATTAACACAGCTGGTTAAATTTTACTTAATTCAGCAGTTGCCAGAAATGTGTTAATATTGTAGAAAACACATGTTGGGAAACCTTCTTTCTGGACCTCATATAATTTACTGTAGACTTTTTCCACAAAGTAAACTTCAGACTTTTGAATTTTAATGATTTTTCAACCAAAGAGATACAAATTATCACGCAATATAATTAGATTGCCCAGGTGTAAGTCAGGTGTTTCTGAGTCACATTTTCTTCATTTGATGTTTTGAACAAAATTAGATCCCCATAACCTTTTAAAATGTATGTTACTTCAGGCAGTAAATTAGTGTATTTAAGCAAAGGAAATATATTTTTATTAGTGTACTGAGCAGAGACTCCTTTGCCCCATAATAGAGAAACAGCTCTGTTTCCCCAGAGCTCAGTAAAAGACACAGCTTGTCTTTTCACATGGTTTTAATTGTGTGTTTGACTCGGAAGGAAACCTACACCTGTGAAGCTTTTCTGTCAAAATGGGGCAGCCAGGTACAACAGGAAGGAAGGCGGACGACTTTCAGCTTCAGAGTGTCGCGTTCTCTGCTGTGCTCTTCTTTCGCGTGTCTGTGGGGAATCCGCTCAGTGAAACGGTCATACGCACCCTTTGGAGTTCAAGTCTGTTTTTATTAGTTCCACAGGTCACTAAAAAAAACCCACTCTCGCTTTTGCAACTAATGCCACAACATTTGCATGACTACACCCCTTCCACCTAAGTGCTTGTTTTCTCCTCACATCTTTTTAAAATTTTATTTTAAGGTGTGGTAAATAAAGCCCAGCAAATTTTCAAATACATAGGTTTTCCAACTGATGTACCATATTGGAAAGAGATACCAATTTGTTACGGACGTTTGTAGCAAGTTCATCGTTCTTGGCTTTTCCCCTCCGTATGAGTGTTGGATTTTCAGGTGTTTTTTTTTTCAAGCAAGACTGCAGCTTATGGGTCCTAATAGCTTTCTTAGATATACCATCTCAAATACTTCCTATCATATTGTAATGAAAAGCAACATTCAGAGACTTTTAACAGCATAAATATGATCACATAATAGTCTTTCCAAGGATTGTTGAGGAGAATCTACGTAGCAGATCATTGAGCATTTATATCTACTCGAGGAACGGACATCCTAACTTTGGGTTCATCTCCGACAGACAAACAGCAGAAAGGTGAATTCGCGATCGACGGCTACTCGGTCAAGATGAACCAGACCCTTAGGAAGGACGCGAAGAAAGACTGCTGCTTCGAAATTTCCGCTCCCGATAAGCGAGTCTATCAGGTTGGAGTTCGGATGTTGCCTGGGAATTAAGTTGATAAAACGCCCTGATTTCATGTATAGAGGAGACATTAGCATTTTGTTGAAACAATTCTCCCTGACATGTTAATAGTAATAAAAAATACTGGTTTTATATACTGAGCACTCATACAAGAAGAGGAAATACATTTGTTAACCGTTTCAGATTATAGCAAGTGATATCTTCTTGAAAAAGAACAAGCACATAATGCCATTTATCAATTACTCCAAATGTTGCATTTCATATCTGTTTTAATGGAATAGTATGATTTCCTGAAAGAATTACATATAAATTATCAAAAGAAAAATATCAGAGTGTTAATGCATATTATATTGCTTGCGGGAGAAAATGAAGGTAGAAAGGCATGCATGGGCTCTGTAATTCAAGAGCTATCAGCTAGGCATCAATATGGAATGTATGTTTAATAAGTTTTAAATATCTGAGATTGCAGTTGAAAGCCAGTTAATTAAGTTGTCAGGTAGTGTGTTGGAATCTGACAAGAACATTTTTAAGAAAACTATACCCAGCAGTCTAAAGAAATTCATGGGTGTCTTCTAATTGTCAAGGGCAAATTTTGTTCATCAGTTCTGTCTTTGACATTGATGAAGAGAAGCAGTTTTTTTTCTCGGCACAGCTGCCAGCTGCTGATCAGAGTTTCAAATCCATCATCCTCTGCTTCAATTACGTAGATTTGTCAAAATTAACTTTACATTATAAGAAGCATCCTTGCAAGAAAAGTACCAGTAGACATGAAAAGAATGACTAATGGTCTGAAAGAAATGATAAGAATGCTACATGCCTCCCATTGCTACTGTGGTGATTTTTGTGGTGTTGTTTGCTTGTTGCTAGTTTACCGCAGCTTCTCCCAAAGATGCTGAGGAATGGGTACAGCAGCTGAAATTTGTGCTACAAGGTAAGAGTAATCAATTAAACAAGTTATCATAGTCTTTTAATACTGAGTAACTGAGTGATTTGGGCCGTCACATACCAAAAGCTTATTGACTTCGGTGAGAAAGCTCTGGGGACTGGAATTAACAAAGCCCATTCCCTTGAGATTTGAAAAGCATCCCTTCTGTGAGAACCAAGGGCAACTTGGAAATTTGCATTTCAATCAACATTAAAAAAACTTTTCAACTAAAGATTTAAGTGGCTTATAGGGCTTCATTGGTTTAGGAAATATGGTTTTAGAAAACTTTTTTGGGCACTCTTTTAATTTTTACTCTATGAAACATGTCCTTCTAGATATGGGATCTGATATTATTCCTGAGGATGATGATGATGAAAGAGGAGGTTTATACGATGATGTTGATCATCCTCTACCAATCAGCAGTCCGGGGTCGAGCCACCACCAGCCAGTAGATGATGAAATTTATGAAGAGCTTCCAGGTATTTATTTGTTTTGTGGTTCATTTAAGAATTTTAGTGCACTCTTTTTTAAAAAAAATATCCAGGTGGCAGCTTGAGTAGAAATGAGCTATTAAGAACAAGGGCAACGAAAATCTTCAAAGCTACTTTACGCGAAGGGTTCTGCATGAGGTATTTCAAGTGGTGGATGTACATTCATGAAAAGTGAATGGAATGTTAAAATCATGCAGATACAATCCTAATCTCTTGGGGCTTTTGGCTCATTAGCATTGTTTATGCTACATAATTTTTTAATTAAAAAATTGACTTGCTTTACAGGTTTTTTTCCCCCACCAACTCACACATCATTTTTTAGTTATACATCTTGGAACTCCATTGACCAGAAGTTCTGTACATACCCCATATGTCATCAACTTCTGCCTCATGGATTTTTCCTTACTGCACTTGTCTAGGAGAAATGTTGAACTATAAACAAAGGCCTTTTGATGCTTGAAGTTTTCTTGCTTGAGATTTTAGCATCAGTGTGGAACAGAAGGTTTTTAATGAAAATTTTCAGGGATGGTGTAGTGCTGTCATGCTTCAGTATCTGCTGTATCAAATAAAAATGATCTGTTCACTACTTGATGCGTAGTTTTGAGGGTCAGCCTAAAACAGACAAAGATAAGCATCTGAAACTATATGAGATAGGACATTTAGAATAGGAAAAGACGTGGAGAATTATTGTACTACTATTACTCTAGGTTGAAATGAGCCTTTCCTAACTATTCAAAGAACAGGGGAAGCAAAGAAAGGGTTCTAAGTAGGATAAGTAAAATTAATTACATCTCATGTAGAAATGCTATTTTGCTCTGAGTAGAAGAAATTAATGACATAATCCCAAACTGTAAAGATTCCAAAATTAATTAACATGTTAAAAGTTAATGTACAAATGCCATTTTAAATTCAGTCAGCAGAACACTGTAACTCTAACTAGATGAACTTTAGAGTCAAAAAGTTCAAATTCTGGGTTTACTATTTACTAGTTCAGAGTCCTTAAAAATCAGTGTCTTTCTCAGTAAAATGAGAATAATAACTCTGGAGGAATAAGTGAGATAGTGTATTTAAAACTCTCAGCATAGAGCTTGAATTATAGCAAGCAAATACATGGTGACATCACTATCATTATTGCTCTCCACATTGTGTCTGGTAAATACTTGTGCATGCTTTATGGGGGTCTAGTCATTGCCGACTCAGAGAGACCCTATAGGGTAGGATAGAACTGCCCCCTGGAGGGAGTGCGGAGTGGAGACCCAAAGCCCATTAGTAGGCCACTGGAGATCCCCTTGCAGAGGGGTCTCGGGGAGGAGATGAGCCAGTCAGGGTGCCATGTAACAACGATGAGAAATACAACTTTCCTCTAGTTCCTAAATGTTTCCTCCCCGCTCCCACTACCATGACTCGAATTCGACCTTGCAAGGCTGGCTAGACCAGAGGAGGTACACTGGTACAGATAGGAACTGAAAATACAGGGAATCCAGGGCGGATGAGCCCTACAGGACCAGTGGTGTGAGTGGCGAAACAGGGAGGGTAGAGGGAGAGTGGGTAGGAAAGAGGGAACCGATTACAAGGAACTATATGTGACCTCCCTGGGGGACAGACAACAGAAAAGTGGGTGAAGGGAGACGTCGGACAGGGCAAGATAAGACAAAATAACAATTTATAAACTATCAAGGGCTCATGAGGGAGGGGGGAGCAGGGAGGGAGGGGGAAAATGAGGACCTAATGCCGGGGGTTTAAGTGGAGAGAAAATGTTTTGAGAATGATGAGGACAATGAATGTACAAATGTGCTTTACAGAATTGATGTGTGTATGGATTGTGATGAGTTGTATGAGCCCCTAATAAAATGATTTAAAAAAAAGAATTAATGCTTATGATATTATAAATTCAAGATATTGAAAACTACTGAAAATAGGTAGATGACATACTGCTTTTTTACTATAGAACAGCGGTTCTCAACTTGTGGGTCATGACCCCTTTTTGGGGCGGGTGTCGAACGATCCTTTCACAGGGGTCGCCCATCTCATAACAGTAGCAAAATTACAGTTATGAAGTATCAACAAAAATAATGTTATGGTTGGGGGGGTCAGCACAACATGAGGAACTGTATGAAAGGGTTGTGGCATCGGGAAGGTTGAGAACCACTGCCCGAGAAGATGCTGATTCATGTGGAAGTGTAATTTTGTGCAGAAATAGTAATCTCCCTGTTTCTGGCCTTTTAGCAGAGACATGTTTATTAGCTCTTTCCTTTCTGGTTTATCCTAAGAAATGGCATGTGTCAGAGCATCCGTTATCCAAAGTCAGGAAGACGGGTCTGGCTACTGGTCACTAGTCACGCTGTGCCCATTTCCTTTCTTCTTTGGCGTGTTGTGAGAATGGACACTAATGTAAGCCAGAAGAGTGAAGTGTTTTTAAACATGGTATTATTGGCAGATACATTTCATCTCATCAAAGCTACATATTAAGTATTATGTTACAATTGTTGTTTTAAATGTTAATTAAATTCTGTGATTTTTCCATGTAACCTCCTCCATGCCCCCAAAAAGGAGGAAAAAAATGGATAGGGAGAGAGAAATGATCGAAGATCATTGCTTAACAAGGACTCCGGGAAGACGTTTGTAGCCAGCTTGAAATCTCAGGCCTATGAACAGCTTCTTTTCTCTCGCGCCAGACGCTCTTCTGTATCTTGTGGTGGTTGTTGCCCAGGGGCCACACATGCTGGAAAAGTGGCTGCACTGTACGCTTACCTCCTGTAGCAAGTGACTGGGCACAATAGAAGCTGCTCTGGGATCCCTTTGCTCCTGCCCCGCATCCCCAGTTGCTGTAGAGCGTGCTGGAGCTGGAGAGAGCCTGGGACCGTGCCCCAGGCAGGAAGCTGTTACAGGCAGCTGTGGAATGCCTCTTCCCCCAAGCAACCCAGAGCCACTTCAGCATCTGCTCGATTCAGCAAGTTTTTCCAGTTAGAGCCAGTAGTCCGAGGTGGAGTTTTTCTTAGTGAAGGCCTTAAAGTTGGTTCTTTAGCATTAAAGCTTTTATTTGATTAAAGAGCTAAAACTGGAAATGTAACTTTTATACCGTATTTATGGTATTTATACTCTCAGGATTTCATATCTATGAAATATGAATATATTTTGTGGAGGAGGGGTGACCACAGTGGGAAAATATTGAGCACATTTTGCTAACTGTTGGTATTTTTCCAGATTTGTAACAAAAAAAACCCTGTATATCTCTGAGGTCTCTCTGACTGGTCAAATTCCCAGAATTAGCACCACCATTGCAAAGCAATTTTCTGTCAATTACAGACAGTTGAAAGCGAATCCTCCCATTTGAGAGACGTGACACACACAGATGCATCTGAAGAGACACTTAGGCCTCAGCATGCTACTTCAAATCACAAAATACAAGTAAGCCTGCAGTGTTTAAGTCTCAGGAGTATGACGGAAATATTGTTTTAAAAGTTGTATAGCGAAATCTCCCTTGAAAAATGTTTATAATTCTATGAGAGTGTAAATAGTCTCATTGTAATTGTTTTTCAGTTAGAATAGTCTAACTTTATTACAGCAGCTACTCTTTAATTTCTTGTTCATTAATTTTTAAGGAACTGCATAAAAGAATAGTAATGAATTAGTAAGATTTCTTTGCTGTTAAGGGATTTATGCATTTCTAGAAAAGAACTGAAAGAGCATCATTTCCGGAGAATATTAAAGGTGTTTGGCTTTTCCTGACAGACCATGATGCTTTGACAAGCTTTTAGGTCTTATGATTTGTTAGCTTAGGCTGGTCAGGCTTGCTTCTATTGTGATATACACAGTACATTCCTGTTTGCACAACTCATGCATTGATCAAAGTGTGTTGATCTGTTTCATAACACAGTAATGAGTTCATTTGGCTTAGAACAAATTCCAGAATCCATTGGTCGTTTTTCATCAGGAACATAGAGAAACAGTGTTTTTGACTGATTTTTGAATTTTTGAAAGGAAGAACAGCATCTGGAAATTTGCATCAGAAATCAACCCAGTTCTTCCAGGCACATGTCACTTCGTTTGCCCCCTTTGATGTAGGGAACTGTGCAGTGGTGAGGAGTCAGGGGCAGAGAATTTTTTTAGCTTCAGGCAGAAATAGAGTCGGCCAAGTAACGGGAATGGTAATGTTACACCCATTAGAACAGGCGTCCTCAAACTACGGCCCGTGGGCCACATGCAGCCAGCCAAGGACATTTATCTGGTCCACCGGGTGTTTTGCCACGTTTGTTTTTTTGCTTCAAAATAAGGTATGTGCAATGTGCATAGAAATTTGTTCATAGTTTTTTTTTCCAGCTATAGTCCGGTCCCCCAACGGTCTGAGGGACAGTGAACTAGCCCAAATGTTTAAAACATTTGAGCACTCCTGCATTCGACTGTTAAGTCCATATCTTTCAAGGGAATTGCCCGTGAAACGTCTTCTGGCAATTGGACTAGAGAAGACAGCAAAATAAAATAGGAAGACACTTTTGAATTCCATTAACCTAATTTTTTAAAGCATGACTTCATTTTATTTTTTGTATTATAATGCCAGGTCAAACGCTTCAGAGCTAGACAAGGATGTTTTTTCCTTTAGTCATTCCATTCCATTTTAAAATTTTATTTAGACCAACTTTCTGCTGCTACAGTAGACCATGAAATAAAATACAGCTATTAAATTTTTTCAATGGAACTGTTGTCACATATACATAAAATAGTTTGAGGGCTGCTTAAATTAGATGTCATCTCCATCAAGTGGACACCTATGATAATAATCAAGTGAGTACCACCCCTAAAATACACATTTTAGCTTTCTTTTTTTCTCCTCTGAATAATTAGTAGTCACATTACTATCCAATTAATATTATTAAGGCTACAGGACACGCTGGAATCTCTGTTATTAACACCATTAAAAGTAATGGCAAGCCCTGATTTAACCAAAGACACTTAACCTTTTTTTTTTCTGGAATGCAATGGAAAAAGAT